TATTTCAAAATTAATTTACTGCTATTTTATAATTTTTGTTATTCTGTGCGTAAAATAATTGTTTCAAGTTATTTGAGTTAATTATGAGCACATATTTAAATTAATTAACTTTAAATTGTTTAAAATATAACATTTTAAGTTAATTTTATTAACGGAAACAAATAAATTTAATCTTTATTTAAACAATAAAAATAGTGTTTTAATGTGTTGTAGAATTAAACAGCATATGATTTATTACGATCGGATACCATATATTATCTGATGTATGATATCTTATCATTTAGCTTATCATTGAGAAGGGAATACCTATTAATCAGAGCCTAAACGCTATTATTATCAGTCTTATGAATGATAAAGAATATTCTCTTTATTCTACCATTCAATGAGTTAACTAAATAAAGACTATAAAATATTTATATATAATGGTTTAATATTAATACATAACGTTATAAATCAATCAATTCTTAAGTAAAACACATTAAATCATGTGAGTGACTTAAAATAGATTATGCATTGTCTTTGAAAATCAATTATTAACAATAACTAACATTTAGCAATGGATTCATGAATTAAATAGTTATTGGACTAATAGAGCAAAATCATTGTTCATAATATTTAAAACAATGATAATTATGATAATAATATGAAATCTTAAGGAAAGATATCGTCGACTCGATGTATAAATAGTCATATGGATCGCAAGCCCTCCCCTCTCATCTCAAACCCATAATTTATAACTTCATATGATTTCAAACAAAACTGCTTTCAAAAAAATAATGATTATATGAATTACTGTTTAGAAAATCACGCTTTAAATCATTTGAAGCAATATTTCTCATAGTAATTGCTAACTCATCATGTGTTTTACTAAATGTGTTAATATGCAAAGTATCATGCTCGTATATTCACATATTCCGGATATGCAATCTATTGCAAATTCAATATACAAGATATGAATTAACTTATGGTAATTTACTGCAAGTTTCAAGTATGAAGTGATTGGCCCTCAAATCACAAACTATTGAATAATTAAAATAAATATTATTAATAATAATAATGATATGAATTTCAAAAATAGCAATAAATATAATCTAAAATAGCTATACGTTTGATAAATGGCATTAAAATGTGATTTAAAGGGAAAAATAAAATGAAACAAAAAATTGAGTGAAAGAAATAAATTGCACACAAAAAGTGTAGAGAGAGGCCAACACTGACGCCACAGACATACTCTACACTACTATAGCATCCAAAACGCTATCATTCAATGAATGGCTCTTTCAAAGTGTATTAAACTTTGTTTACGTTATTTGTGTGTCAAAGGCCTCAACACAGAGTCGACGCCAATCGAGCGCTCAACCCATCAATAATGGCATTCAATTGCACACAAATGTGTAGCAAATGTACAGCAAATGTATAGCATATGCAGGGCTTGAGTAGAGGCGGAGGGACTGAATGTCGGGGCGAGTTGTGCCGTATGGGGCGGTCGTAGTGTATGTGTGGGGTATTGGGGTTGGGATGTGTTGGGCATTGAATGCATTGAATGCAGTGATTGTGTTGAGCACTGGTTTGGCTGATCGTCAGTCTGTGTCTGTGAGAGGTATTGTGTGAATGAGTGATGACTGGAAGCGATGGCCGACACCCTATAGAGACAATGACAGTGTTGTGGGCAACCCATGCAACCCATGTCTGTGTCGATGCCGTCCAGTGAGACACACACTCTGACCAGTGCTCGCAGTGCTCACCAGTACTCGCAGTAGTGGTAGAAGTGGTGGCAGTGGTGGCAGAGGTGATGGCAGTCGTGGGGCCGCAGTGTCGGTCCGGATCAAGTGTGGCCATGAATGCCATGAATGGTGCAAACAATAGACACTCATCGGTGAGCACTTCTTCGCACAACTCTGCGGTGAGCAACGGATCAGTTGGCCATTCACTGCATACACAACACAACGCTATCTTAGCGGCCGCTCAACCTTTCTATTCAACCAACCATTCAATCAACACTCAAGACATGCAACCCGACAGACCCATCGGCTACGGGGCCTTCGGAGTGGTCTGGTATGTGTGTCCCATATCTGTCACCGATCATCTGATCCCTTAGTCTATTTCAATGTATCCATTGGTTTGCTTTGTGTGGCGAGAAATGCAATGCTTTGTACGGTTTGTGTGCTTTAAGTGCACCTAAAATGCAGTTAAACTGCAAACACAACAAACACTCCGACTCTTTGTTTGACTCTCGACTCCACTCCAAGTCTATTGCCTTTAATGAACTCTACTTTTGCTCCACACATACCCTCTCTCTGTCCTCTCTATAGCTCATCCACTTCTCCATCCATTCTATCACTTCTTCTTCTTTGTCTTTCACTTCCCATTCATTTCTCATTCAGTTTTTTTGTTTTAATTTAATTTTACTATTCATTCAAACAGTTTGTGTGAATTGAGTACTAAATCTCACTGAAAGCCAATACCAATACTTGCAATCAATGTCTTTGTTCTCAACTTTAGGCCAATGTATGGCTCTTTTGTATTGATTGAGATTTTAATCAAATGTGTGTTTGATTTTAATTGATGTATAATTAATATGAATACAATTTAGTGATAATAGTTGGCGACAAATGGCACCGATCACTGATGGACTAGTTGTCTGTTCGGGTGCCCAACCATTACAATCTCAGCGATCATTGCAATCACAATACAAAAACTATAGGCAAATCGTGTCCTCATTTTCAATCATATGACAAATATTGTGATTATTTGTTAAATACATTCATTATTTGAATTGCAGTTTTAGATCAAATGTAATTTTTGTTCAAAAAAGTGTGCTTTTTATGCGAAAAACTTATTGTTTGTCAATTAGTATCTAAAGTTTTAAATCATATGATAGATTGTCCTCTCATTAAATGTTGATATAATGACTCCAATCGATAAGAAAACTATACATTTTTTCCGTCAAATCCGATACGAATTAAAAGTTTTGTTGATTTTATTTCTGGTCGTCGTCTTTAACATTGATGTCTACATAGAGTTTGGGTTTTAAAATGTTTGGTCTCTGAACCAGAATTAAGGCATTGCTATTGGCATTGGGTATGGAGTGAAAGGGAGGCCAAAGTGGAAATGGATCGACAAGTTGTATAGTATTGAACACCACCTGCTCTTTAAGACAGGCTCACCACTGGTTCCTAACATTCAACTCCAGGCGCTCTCCAAAGTCTGAGCAAAACTTTTTTTGTTCACTATTTCTGTGAGTTTAGGTCCAAAACTAGTGGACATTCTTTAGGCTCCTTTTGGGCAGCGATTGTAAGTCCTGTGCAGGAAATGCTTGTGTTGTTCACAACAATGGCTAAAATGAGTCCCATTTTGATGGTAACACGACTTGTAATTATTGCTTTTTCGGACATTCTTTCCGTTTATGCAAAAATATTTTCGTCTCATATAATCTTGCATTACATACACGACGACTGTCTGACACTCTTTTACAACAAAGAGTTTGTTTTCTCGCATTTTTTGGTTCACTATTACCGCCAATATTACAAATAAGTTGTTTTTGAGCCCATTTTCTCCATTGGATTTTTGAAATAAATTTATAAAATCCGTTAAAATGCTTAAAATCTTAATTAATTATTAATAAATATAAATATTAGTTTAATAAATGGCAAATGCATTGATATATTGAGGCAATGAATGAAAAATTGATTTGAAAGCTATTTTGTTGTAGTTTTAGAGCAAATAACTTGAAATCCAAAAGAGAAGCCTATATTTGCGAAGAAGTATTTCAATCCTTGTATTATAATTGAGTGCTTTCTTGAGCGCAGTCTAAGTCGTCCTCATTTATAAACTATAATTAAAATCCAATAATAATTAGAAAATATATTCCTTTGAATCCTTAATTAAATATGAAATTTTTAGTTGAATGCATAATATATATAAGTTTTTGATTGCCATTTCTGGCGTTTAAATGTTTTAATATTTAGTTCAAAATTCAATTGTGAATAATATCCATAAAAAGTTGTTTTAATTTATATTTAATTTTTTATATCAGAAGACATGTCTCGTAAAAAATTAGCACTAATTTAGCAGATTTTGAATTTTTAAAAATTTGCTTAAATGTATTGATAGACTATTAATTTGATAGACTATAAAATTGCGTTTAAAACTAATTTTATTATTTGAATCCCAAAATAATCTGAATTATGGCTCAAATATTTGTTTTTATATTGAAATCCTTAGATTGTCTTTGAAATCAACTTTATTTATAACTTTGAATTTAGATTTTGTATTAATTAAATCAAGGATTTTCTCGTAAGCATTATATTAAGTACTAAATGAAATGTTGAATGCAATGAGTGCTGAGATTTTTTTTAAATATATGAAATGAAATCTTTAAAGTAATTTCGTGCTAAAAAATTGAGGATATTTTTTATGCACAAAAGTCTATATTTCGTCAAATTTAACGATTGCTTTAAAGTGTAATTTAAAACGTGTATTGTTTCGCAAAATTCCTACAAATCCTATGGTTTCTTGTAAATCATTTTAATTACAAGTCTATTATTAGATCCCAAGATATCGCTGTCCAATGGATATTGAATGACAGAAATTTAATGAACATTTTTTTGTTGCATTTTTAATGTCGACGTCTGAAAAGCCGAATAGTATTTTTTGATTCATAAGCAGTTCCGCCAATGATTTAAACGGATTTCAATATAGTTTGATATTTCTCTCATAAGTTATTCAATTGTTTTGCCCATTATATGGGCCACTGATTAGTGCCACAGAATTGAGCCTTAATTTCCAGTTCTCGAGCATAACGTTTAAAATTCCTACAAATCCTATGGTTTCTTGTAAATCATTTTAATTACAAGTCTATTATTAGATCTCAAGATATCGCTGTCCAATGAATGACAGAAATTTAATAAACATTTTTTTGTTGTATTTTTTAATGTCGACGTCTGAAAAGCCGAATAGTATTTTTTAATTCATAAGCAGTTCCGCCAATGGTTTAAACGGATTTCAATATAGTTTGATATTTCTCTCATAAGTTATTCAATTGTTTTGCCCATTATATGGGCCACTGATTAGTGCCACAGAATTGAGCCTTAATTTCCAGTTCTCGAGCATAACGTTTATTTAAACGGATTTCAATATAGTTTGATATTTCTCTCATAAGTTATTCAATTGTTTTGCCCATTATATGGGCCACTGATATCACGGTGTCTTAACTCGGAATTAAAGGTCAAGAGCTCGTATTGCAAATTCTTTATAAAAGAATTTATATATCATCAAAAACTTCATTTATTTATTAATAGTTTTTGTAGATACTTTACTCTATTATATTAAGTTTTTTTGAATGATTTTTTGCACATTTTTTGTATTTTTAATAAATTCCTACATAATAAAAACTTGTATTTCATTTTTCTACAAATGTATTTAAATGATACCTGAATTTATAGGTATTGTCTTTGATTGCAATGATATTAATGTCAGGCATTGATAGCAAACTGTTGTTTAAACTGAATTGTTTGGTTTTTAAATACGAAGAACAGTTTAATTAGCAAAATTGGTCTCTCATTAGTGTTAATATTATAATCATATGAAATATAGTTAATAGTGGAGGAATAGGCTGTTGGGCTGTCCCAATAGTGCCACAGAATTGAGCCTTAATTTCCAGTTCTCGAGCATAACGTTTAAGAAATATTTTCTTAAATATATAGTAGTTTTTGAAGTAAATAAATAATTATCAAAAACATCTATGAAATGAGATAATAATTAAGTTTTTTTGAATGATTTTTTTGCACATTTTTCTACAAATGTATTTAAATAATACCTGAATTTATAGGTATTGTCTTTGATTGCAATGATATTAATGTCAGGCATTGATAGCAAACTGTTGTTTAGTGACTTAACAAACCAAAAATTTATGCTTCTTGTCAAATTAATCGTTTTAACCAGAGAGTAATCACAATTATAATATTAGTATACTTTATATCAATTATCACCTCCTTATCCGACAACCCGACAGGGTCTAACCCATATAGCATTGATTTGGGTTAGAAAACACCAGTCGTTTAAGTGCTGCTATTTTGCAACAGAGCTCTATATTTCATTAAAAAAAACTTGAAATGCTTTAAAACATTGATTAATAATTTTGCGCAAATTGGGTAAAACCTAATTGTAATTGTTTTTTCTGTACGTTTGCCCTTTAGGTCAGTAACGGATCCGCGCGATGGCAAAAGAGTTGCGCTCAAGAAAATGCCGAATGTCTTCCAAAACCTGGTCTCCAGTAAACGGGTTTATAGAGAGATCAAAATGCTTTGCTTTTTCAAACACGAAAACGTAAATTTACCATAAATTAAATTTATACAATAAATTTGTATTTAAAAAGCACTTTAAATCTAATTAAAAACTATATCTTGTATTTACCGGACATTAGGTTCTATCAGCAGCAGATATCTTACAACCGCCGCACATCGACTTCTTCCAAGAGATGTACATATAATATATACCAGTATTGACTCGTTTTGCGATATTTGACTAATTGTTTGCATTGCTTTTGAAACAGATATGTGATAACAGAACTAATGCAAAGCGATTTACATAAGATAATAGTGTCGTCGCAACCCTTGACCTCAGATCACGTTAAAGTATTTCTCTATCAAATCCTAAGGGGACTCAAGTATTTGCATTCGGCGCGAATCCTGCACCGGGATATCAAACCGGGGAATCTGTTGGTCAACAGTAATTGTCTGCTCAAGGTTTGTGTGAACAGTGTTGACGTATTTGCCATTACATCTACTAATTACACGTTTTGTTTGATTAGATTTGTGACTTCGGTTTAGCGCGAGTCGAAGAATCGGATTCATCCAAATTAATGACCCAAGAAGTGGTTACACAGTATTATAGAGCGCCCGAACTCTTGATGGGCGCTCGACACTACACCTCATCCATCGATATTTGGTCCGTCGGCTGCATATTTGCCGAACTGTTGGGCCGAAGAATACTATTCCAGGCGCAGACACCTATTCAACAGGTTTGGCGACTCTTTAATCTGGCGTTGAGTTAACACATACTAAACATTGATTTTTGTGTGTTATTTAGTTGGAACTCATAACAGACCTTTTGGGTACACCCGAGCCGTCAGATATGCGGTACGCGTGCGAAGGCGCCCGAATCCATATACAGCGGCGGCCCTGCAAAACATCGTCGTTAGGCTCGCTGTACAATCTCTCTCCTCAGGCCAATCACGAAGCCGTACACCTATTGTGTCAAATGTTGGTTTTTAATCCCGTAAGTCATCGAATGATTGTAATATGTATTGAATTGAACTGATTTGTGATTTTTACAATTTAAAGGATAAGCGAATTAACTGTTCGAACGCATTGAGTCACCCGTATCTGGAAGAAGGCCGCCTTCGGTACCACTCATGTATGTGCCGGTGCTGAGAGTCGAAGAATCGGATTCATCCAAATTAATGACCCAAGAAGTGGTTACACAGTATTATAGAGCGCCCGAACTCTTGATGGGCGCTCGACACTACACCTCATCCATCGATATTTGGTCCGTCGGCTGTATATTTGCCGAACTGTTGGGCCGAAGAATACTATTCCAGGCGCAGACACCTATTCAACAGGTTTGGCGACTCTTGAATCTGGCGTTGAGTTAACACATACTAAACAGTGATTTTTGTGTATTATTTAGTTGGAACTCATAACCGACCTTTTGGGTACACCCGAGCCGTCAGATATGCGGTACGCGTGCGAAGGCGCCCGAATCCATATACAGCGGCGGCCCTGCAAAACATCGTCGTTAGGCTCGTTATACAATCTCTCTCCTCAGGCCAATCACGAAGCCGTACACCTATTGTGTCAAATGTTGGTTTTTAATCCCGTAAGTCATCTAATGATTGCGAATAACTTAACTTGACTAAACACTAAAAATGTTAAATTTCCTATTCGCTTAATTGACAAGCTTGCGTAACTCAGTGGGCATAGACCTTCTTCCGGCGGAAGCCATGGTGAGTACATACACGGCCACGACTCATTCTGTGGGCTCCAGTCGTCGTTATGTCACTGATTTGGAGCCTTTGGCACAATCGCCCTTCGATTATACCTTTGAAAAAGAGTTGTCTTCTGTCCATATGGTTAAAGGTTTGTTGATTTAAAGCAATCACTACATAATTATTGGTTTAAAACAATGTGTTTTTTATTAACAGAACGGTTACACAAATCAATACTAGAAAAGTGTTCGCTCTCTTCGCTGTCAAATCGGGTGCCGCTCTGTATTAATCCACATTCGGCTGCCTTCAAGAGTTTTGCGAGGTTTGCAATCACACAACCAATCGATATTTAGAGCACATTCACTAATGCATTGGTTTTTTTGTACGTTTAGTTCAACAGTTGCTCATCCGTCAGAATTACCGCCTTCTCCTCATTGTTGGGAATGACTATCATTTCAATAGTTGTCGTAAATTTAATTTTAATTTTAATCAACTCTTCGGTTGCCATTGTATCGACCATTGGCTCATTGACTGCCCTCTTGAAGATACCTTCAAATGGCAGTCAAATTAGTTTTATATTTATTTATTTAAAACTTTCAACCAATCGATCGCAACGATTGCAACACTCCTTCAGAAGCACTTAAATTTATATTTGTCTTAATTTTAGACTTAAATTCCCTGAAAATAATGTGTTTTCATAATTGCATTGCAATGACCAGCGAATAATGAGAATCCTTTGGATTGAATATTAAATTGTAAATAATTTTAGCTCTCAATCAAGTGATTACAGAATTAAGTATTGATACTTTCGTGTAATGAAATTCCTCATTTCCTAAACATCCAATTTTTAATGTCTTATTTTAAACTTTAAGTTACAATTAGTTGAATCTATGGTTCAATTAAAAGACAACTTAAAGCCATTTTTATTGTGATTAGTTTTGAATGACAACTGATTTGTAATCTCGTATATTGACTAAACAATTGGTTGATTAGATGCCATCGATTTGTGTCTTTATATGAGATGGCATTGAAGTGATTGACTTTATTTATAATATCTGTTGCCATAAAGTGACCGAAAGTTTTCCAAAGATATTCAGTTATAGTCAAGGATTGAGTAGTAATTAATGGAAATTCGCTATTGATATGTGCCTCAACTGAACACAAATATGGGTTTTGATACCTATTTGTGGGACTCATCTTTTTATAGCAGACATACCAGACCTCTAATGATTGCAATCATATGCATAGATCTCTGATTACAAATAGTCATTCATTTGTCATCAAAACTCATTTCATTTTCATCTTAATAAAAGCCACGACTCTCTTGACTACTACTACTAATTGTCGTAATAATGGACTCATTTTATAACATAAATCATTGTATGATATTTTGAATCATAACTCGGAATCAATTGTTAGCCATTGAATTGTGGAGTATTTGTAGGGCGCGCCCACCCGTTCCAGTCGCCAATGTGTGTCTCTGTCTTATCCCTAACACCACATGACTGTCAAACGTTATTACAAAATGTATTTACAATTTAGTAAATTTGGTAATTTATCTATCGATACAATTAGCACCTGTATTATCACATACTGTGCCTCACAATTCTGTCCATATTATCGGTTTAATGAATCGTAATATACAATCGGAAGTCTATATTGAATGAGAAATTCAATGAACGTAAATGTCCTAAATTTAGCGCTAATTAATTGTTTTTAATTGTAATTAAAACGTATAGTAATTAAATGATGTAAAATATAATAACAGTGAAAACAAATGAGTATTCAGTTGAGAGAGACTGGTATTGAGCTATTGAGCAAACATAAGACAACAAGCCGTACCACTGCCACTACCGGTGCAACACTTACCTAACCGTATATGTGTTGCATAAGTACAGTATGACTATTGATGTGTTCTTACAATAAAAAGCTTAGTATCGGTTCCACTATTTCTGATTATTATTAACTTTAATGGGATTAGTGTTTGGTCTGTAATGTATCGATGAAAATGGGTTCTCATGTCTTACCATTCATTTTATTGTTTTGCGGATATAATCCACAGAATTTTAAATAGATTTTTTCCATTTAAATAATATTTTTCATCAACTTTTTTGCTCATAATTATTATTACCATTCAATTGTATATCACTTTTATACGAATAAAACAAATAATACTTATAATTTGAAACAACAAAACAAATCGTGTATTTATTCATTCAATTCATGATATATTTAATTATTTCGCTATTTTCTAAAATTAGTTTAATATTGTTATATACCATGCGTTCAAACTGTGGTTTGTCTCCAAATAGTGCATCTATTTATTGACAAAACTTTCTCCCTTTTTGATACTGCTTTGCAACTCCGCGATCGCACTCTTCACCAAATTCTGCTCGAAGTCCGACAACTTTCCTAATCCCAGGTTCTTCTCGACACCATTTTTCTGCTCAAAACAAATTCACGTTTAATTCAAAACCATTGCAACCAATAGTTGTCGAGAGTTTTACCCCTAAGACAAGTGGAGTCGAGAAATATGTGGCCTCCGTTACGTCCGACTTAACGAAAGCGCATTCAACCACTTCTTTGCCATTAATCGCTTCCAATAGCTGTTACAGTAATTCAAGTTTTAATTCAATTCATAGAGTGATGAAGAACTCACAGATATAGCAAATCTGGCGCCGGCGAAGGCCATCGATAGAGTGGCCGAACCCTATATGCGGTCATAACATATGTTTAGAGATATGTATAAATGGATGGACAGAGTATATGAGTGGACATACAGTTCCGGCCTTAGCCTTAACCACTTCAGTGCCGGCGTCTTGAATGCGTTTAGTGAGAGCGTCGAGTTTGTCGTTGGGAAACGTGACCGAAGGGTTGCACCGAGAGATCAATGGAATAATAAACATACAGTTCCGGCCTTAGCCTTAACCACTTCAGTGCCGGCGTCTTGAATGCGTTTAGTGAGAGCGTCGAGTTTGTCGTTGGGAAACGTGACCGAAGGGTTGCACCGAGAGATCAATGGAATAATAGTGATGCCGGCGTGACCTCCAATCACCGGCACATTAACCTCCTTCGGGTCCAGACCTTTGGCCTCAGCGATGAAAGTGTTGGCCCGAACCACGTCCAGAGTGGTCACACCGAAGATGCGTTTCGGATCGTAAACGTTGTGCTTCTTGAATATCTCCGAAGCGATCGGAACCGTTGAGTTGACCGGATTCGAGATAATGGCGATCATAGCTTTGGGGCAGTATTTGGCGGCCGCTTCGGCCAAATCGCGGACAATGGATGCGTTGGTGTTGAAGAGATCGTCGCGAGTCATGCCTGGCTTACGCGGCACTCCGGCCGGAATCACCACCACTTGGGCGCCCTCGAGGGCCGCCTTGAGCTGATCCGGGCCCACATGACCGGTCACTTTGGCTCTGGTATTGATGTGACTGAGATCTGCGGCCACACCGGGTGTGTGCGCGATGTCGTAAAGACTCAATTGTGTCACTAATGGGCTGTGCTTTAAGAGCAAAGACAACGGCTGTCCAATACCTCCCGAAGCGCCCAAAACCGCCACTTTTGACCGAACCTATGGTTACCGACAGACAAATGAGACAACAAATCAAACGTTAGTTTATTTTGCAATCAAATCAAGCCTTCAATGAAAGCATTGAATCAAAGGTTTAATCAAATGAAATGTCATTTCAATTAAAAATGGTTTCAATGATTGAAATGATAGCCAAAGACCTCATGAGTGGTACTGAAAGAGCGGCTACTCTTCAGACAGAAATGAGACAACAGTTTCGTCCGTCCAATCATTTTGCAGACAATCTGTGGTTACGTTTAATTGAGACGACAATCAAACCAATCGATCGCAAAATCTTCACTTGAAGGTCACCACAACTGAGTCCACGAGAGGGCGACTAATGGTATGCAAAGTCAATGCAAACACTGATCACGTGATTGTCGTTTGAAAAACATTTCACATCTTATTTATCACTCATTCCTCCGAGTCTTTGGCCATTCATTGAGACAATTGTGCCGACAATGGAGGACAAGAAGTAAGCGTTCATTTTGTATGTATTGTTTTGATTAATTGTGTCTTTGTTTTGATCCAAAGGTATGGTTTAATCCGATTGTCGAAAACCAATAAACCTGTCAATACTCTCAAGAAGAATATCTTTGATGACAGCGATTCCGACGACGACTCGCCAGCGGTAATGATTGGATAATATGTCACAAATCGTGTCGTGTCTTACAATTACTTGTATTTTTTTATACAGAATTTAAAATCAAAACAAGTGATAACTTCTTCCTCGGGAGTGAAAAGACAAACCCAATTAGACATAAGCAAAGCGCTCACCGAAGACCCCAATGTCTTTGAATACGACAATATTTACGACGATATGAAGGCCAAGAATGAGCCGATCGTCGAAACGGATCCGCAGAATAAAGAGAAGCCGAAACCCAAATATATTAACCATTTATTAAAGTTTTCGGAAACTCGAAAAAAAGAGAGCGAAAGACGTGTCGAACGGAAGATACAGAAAGAGAGGGAACGCGAGGGCAATGAGTTTGAAGACAAGGAACAGTTTGTGACCAACGCTTACAAAGAGAAACTCGAAGAGATCCGACTTCAAGACCTAAAGGATCAAAAAGAGCAACAAATTGACGGTAAGACATGTTTTTGTTGTCAATTGATTGTCATTTTAATTGATTTTATTTCAGATCTGTTGGACGTGAAGAAGCAAAACGATTTGTCCGGCTTTTATAGAAATCTTCTAAATAACAACATGTCTTTGCCATCGAATCCATCGGTCACTGAAACTGTTGCCGAAGTGCCCAAAGAAATTCCAAAACCAAAATCTAATCGTCAAATTAGGCGAAGAAGAAGTTCTTCGGATGAATCTGCAGAGGAAGAAGACTTACCACAAAAAAGTGTGGCAAATGATAAACACGTTGAAAATAAAGGCGAAAACAATAAACAAATTAAAACCGAAGTCGAGAGCTCTGATAATGAAGACGGCGACGAAGACATTGATTCCGAACCAGATCTGGAAAACGAGTCCAAACCTCCTAAGAGTGAACCAATTGATGAAAACAATGGTGTAGTCATTGAGAACACAGAGACACCAAAAGTAGATAAAAGAGAACTTTTAATACAGAAATTTACAAAAAGAACTGTCGGAGAGGTCTTCAGTTCCGCTCAAATGAGATATTTTGAAAGAAAAGATAAATACATTTTGTAAATAAATAAAATCATTTCATTAGTAATTTATAAAAAATAATATTAACTTATATTATAAAAACATTATATAATTTATATCTTAAAATCAGTATTGTTTCCCAAATCCAACGCCGAATGAGTTCCGATTCAAAGAACCCAAGAATTCTCTGTTAAAAAATACATTTACATATCATTAGAGTATTGAAACAAATACCGAGTGATTACTTATACCCTAAATCATCGTTGGAATCGTTGTTAGCATTTGTCGATTGACTAGAATCAGTGCTAATGCTTGAGATATCAATCATTTTAGAGATTTTCTCCAATTCCCGATCGAGTGGTGAACTCATGTTTGAATAGTGTTTTGCGTTCACAGAACTGTTGTCATCACTTTTGTGTCCTTTTGTGTCGCCTTTTGCGCTCGTTTTGTGAGATTTTTGGTTAATATCATAGTTTTTAATAAACTCTTTGACGACTTCGAAAGTGACCGAAGAGTAACCGAATTCATTATTTTGCGGTAAATTCCAACTGAAAGTCTGAATGAAATTGATTTCACTTTCAAAACGTTTCGGTTTCACTGAAGTTAAGACACAGATTACGGCAGCGATTAAGTCGTCGGACATAATACATATCGGATCAGTCTTTACGGGCAAAAGGAAGTGCTTCTCTTCGACTGATTTTGTCATCTGTTGTGTCACTAAATCCAATGTCTTTCGCAGACAATACAGCTTTTCCAGAGGCGTTGTCTTGGCCTCCATTTGTGACAATTCTTCTCTTATTGTGGAATTGATAGAAAAACTTTCAAATACTGTTTGCGCCCCAAAATCGGCCGGATTTATGTTGCGTTCAGACAATTGAACAAATTTACCGTAAAGTAAATCATCATCACTTTTATAGCATTTATTAATTGCATCCATGAGTTTGTGATGAGTTAAACCGATTATAAAACTAGTTATTAAATGAGACACAATTAGAATTATAGTTTTATTAAAATTTTAGTAAACGTTTAAATAGTTGTTAAATACAAACGTTTCGATCGCTGTATCCAATTGTAAATCGTTTGATGATATGCCCGATAGTGACGGAAGTTGTGAGAAATTCTGTTGGAATAAATGTGTTGTAATTGTACTGTATATTAGAACCAAAGCCGTTGGACAATACCTCATATCCCCAATCAATGATGCATTTGATCCGGTCTTTAGCGTCGTCCAGATATTTGGGTAAAATTAGATATGTTTTCATCATTTCATTGACTTTTAATTTTAGACAATCAGTTAATTGTGGCGATAGTTTTGCCAAAAAACCTTCGCAACTATTTTCGCATGAAATCAAACAATTAACGACTTGTGCCGCATATAATTGCAGGGCAATTATATCTAGATCTCTAAGTCGGGGGGCAATTATATCCGGATAGAGTTGCCCTCAGTTTTGCTATCATTTAGGCATTTATCAAAATTCACATATAGTTGCCCTCAAATTCACATAAAATCAAACTGACTAAAAGTTTTTTTTTGTGAATTATATGTTTCCCTTTCCTATCAATTGGTGTGCTTTTTGTTTAATGTGAATGAGTGTCAGGTATTTGTGACACAATGTCTGAAGTAATTGAGTTATCAAATGAGGAATCAATGGATGGGTTGCAACAGATACCGAATACATTAGATTTGAGTAAAAATAACCCTTCATTGAATGCAAGTCAAAGTAAAAGCAATGCAAACACAGAGAGTGGTAACAGTGGTCAGAGTCGGACAACTACTAAATGCAATGGAAAAGGCGGCCGCAAGTCATTCACTCTATTTACCAAACTGTCGGCCATTAAGTGGTTTAAGGCCAATGGATCTAATAAGCGATCGACGGCTATTAGGTTCAAGACTTCCCGTCAAAATATACAGCATTGGGTAGCAATGAAAGACAGAATGAAGATATCGATAGATGGGAATTATTATCTTAAATATCGGAAATCGATATGAATTAAAATTTTAATTATATTTGTTTTTAAAATGATTGACTATTTCTGTATTTCATTTCATTAATAAAACTGTTTGAATAGCTAACCAATAAATGTGTACAGCGTTTGGGGGCAATTATATGTGAGTTTTTAATATGGGGGGCAATTGTATCCGGATATAATTGCCCTGGTTTAGCACTTTTGAAATTTGCCTAAAATCTAGATATAATTGCATGCAATTCTATGCGGCGAAAGTCGTTAGTTTAGAAATGTTGAGTTCAATCACTTTCAATGGACTCACTCTGTAAATGAAACCAATGAATTGTTTTGTGAATTAATTTTCGACGAATCATAACTCGACTGTCGATTCAATGACTTAATCAACGGCTTCTCACAAATCAATAATTTGTAGTTTTTGTTTTGCTGTCAAATAATTATTATAAATAACTTATAAACAACAAAAAACAATATAAAATCTCACATAATTATAGGCAATCTCTTCGCTTAATATCTGAATTGTTTCGCAATTTTTATCACCAAAACCTAAAACGAGTCATAAAATGGTCACAAAATAATTGACTGATAAGTGCAGCGAAAGAAAGCCTCACCTCTTGTGACCCGAAGTGTTTGTCCATCGATTTCGACATCAAAATTATGCTTATTATTGGCGGCAACGAAATGACTGGCAATTCATTCAAACAACTAATTAATGGCAAAATTTTTAAAGACAATTAACAAATGGCTTACGATTTAAGTAAAGGCGAGGCTTTGAGTATATGAGCGCTCATAAAGTGGTCGTTAATGACATTGGATTCGTAGCTATCATTGATTGGCACACAAATGGTGTAACACTTGTCGATGGCATCTCTGTATGTCTTCCGGAACTGTCTCTATCGGGAGGTCAACAACACGTTATCAACACATTTAATCATTGTTCACATCACAGCTGATACCACAGCTGAAGATTGCGATCATCACTGCTTACCACAAGTGTGTTGTAGAATAGATTCTTCTGGAGTGAAGTCATGTCTCAAATGGATTCACAGCCTCTTTGTGTCTCGTATTTAGCGGTCTTTTAAATGAAATCTCATTTCAAAACCAATTAACCATTGAATCAATCATTGGATTAAAGGTGTAGTAAATGTCACATCAAATGAATGCCAATATATTAACCATTCATTTATCACATAACGAGTCAAGTGAGTGGGGGTTCAGTGTGTTTGACACAAATCACAATTACTGTAACCAATAAGTGGTTATTATAGGGTTTAGAATACAATCATTTTATGTAACTTTATATATGAACGACTCATTTGATTAAATGAATTTAAAGGGAAAAGAGTAGAGGTGTTGACGGGTATTGAAGTGCACACAACATGTGACGAAAGAGTGAATCACTTTAACATCACTTCAAATATGTTTGTCTTAAAAGTAGTTTTACTTTTGTTGAGTCCATTCATTGTCTTGTATTGGCTTTTGAAGACTTATGTCCGAAGAGTTGACGCCAAATATCGTCAACAAAATGGTCTGAGAGATGACGTGAAGATAATTGCATTTTTCCATCCCTTCTGCAACTCCGGAGGCGGCGGTGAAAGAGTTCTTTGGGTCGCTCTCAGAGCTCTGCACCACAAATATCCCGATTATCATTACGTGGTCTATACGGGTATGTATTGAACACATGCATGACTTGATTCGTAATCTTATATTTGGTGTAATTATAGGCGATATTGAGGCCAAACCCGAAGAGATTAAAGCGAAAGCCAAAAAGCAGTTTCAAATTGACTTAAATTTTGACATTAGTTTCGTATATCTGAAGAAGCGATATATAGTCGGCGACCGTTTGTACCCAATCTTCACTCTTTTGGGACAAAGTATTGGTTCAGTATTTCTCGGATTTGAAGCACTGTTTCAATGCGTTCCCGACGTATACATCGATTCCATGGGTTTTAGTTTCACGTTTCCTGTGTTCAGATATATAGGCGGCTCTCGTGTTGGCGCGTATGTCCACTACCCGACTATAAGCACTGATATGTTACAAATGGTGACCAACACTAAGACTTCGTATAACAATAGAGCTATTATTAGCAACAGTCGAGTGTTAACGAGTGGTAAACTTCTGTATTACAAACTGTTTGCATATCTGTACGGATTGATTGGCCGAATGGCACTCGTAGTGATGGTCAACTCGAGTTGGACTCAAAGACATGTGGAGTCCATTTGGAAACGGAAGGCCCGCACTGTATACCCGCCCTGTAATACCGATGACTTGAAACGACTGTCGCTTCAAAACAAGAAGGAATTGCAAATCGTATCCATCGGTCAAATCAGACCCGAAAAGAATCATAGCTTACAAGTGATCGCATTTAAAGAGTTTATCGACAAACTGTCGTCCGAAGGGATTGACACTCAATCGGCAAAACTGGTGATTATTGGCAGCTGTCGTGACGATGAGGACAGACAACGACTCAATGATCTCAAACAACTTTCCCGCAGTTTAGATATCGAAAGCAATGTTGAGTTCAAAGTAAACATTCCGTACGAAGAGCTTAAAGATCTAATAGAGGAGTCGAGTATTGGTGTGCATACTATGGTTAACGAACACTTTGGTATCGGTGTTGTCGAGTGTTTGGCCGCCGGACTCATAACACTAACGCACGCTTCTGGAGGACCTAAACTCGATTTGATTACCGACGGTGTAAATGGCTTTTTGGCCACCGATTCGCAGAGTTTTTGCCAAAAGCTTTACAATATTTATAATTTAAATAAATCCAAATTGAATGACATTAGACTCAACGCTCGCAAAAGTGCCGATCGATTCTCTGAACAAGAATTCGAGACATTATTTCTGACATCAATTGAAGAGATTCTTCATTAAATTTTATGACAATTTTAGTATTTATTTTAAATTATAAATAAAGTTCATTAAATTCACGACTCATTTGTATTCTGACAATCATTCCTAACAAATGATCCATACTTTGAATACTTTAATTAAAGCTAAAAAGTGTAATAAGTTTGCAATGCGTTCAGCTGTGGATGTATTATAAGACACATTCAATAGAAACGTGCGATCAATACATAATTTTTGAATTAAAATAATCTAAAATATAATTTGAATTTTAAATGAATAAAATTAAATTTAAAAAACTTATTAAAAATCTCACAAATAATCACTTCATACAGGTTTGCAATACTCTGTAGTGAGACGTGAGAGCCCTCTGTGTGTGTTGTAGTGAAGGAGTGAATGAGTGATCACTGAAACGATTCACTCAAACGATCGCTGATTCACAACATTAACAGTGGATTTGATTTCACTATTCATTAAGCGATTCATTAATTCATTAAACATTGCATTCAATATAAAACAGTTTATTTGTGAAACACTTTTCGCATTCAATTAAATGATATTTTCATTACTTTAGATATTTTGTTAACAATTAGTGTCACAAAAAAGTGATTTATTCAGTGATTTGTTTTCGTTTACAGTTTTTTACACCAAATAATAAATAAATAAAACTTTTGGATTGAATTAAATGAATGTAATGTTTGTTGAAGTGATCGCTATATTTGGCTGATATGGACGAAGAGCTCATCTATTACTTACTATTGGTTCCCATTTCAATACCGGTCACACTATTCTTCATGTTGTTGTCGTGGATGGGCTTCCAGTTATTCATTAACAACTGATTCTTCTATATCTTAACCACTATTCGGACAATCATTTGGTGACAAACTGTTGACTCGTTTAATATAATAGAGAAGAGAGACGACCGCTGCCGGAGTCACTCCCGCCAGACGTTTGGCCGCAAAGATCTGAATGACAGGTATTTATGTAATTAATTATCGGTTAATCGCAAGCAATGGCAATGAAATACCGTTTTCGGTCTGTTCTGAGACAACACGTGTCGCACTTCTGTACTCAAAGTTAAATCTTTGGTACTATAATCCATATTTGGATCAATTTCTATCATCTCTTCGCTCTTAACCTGATTCACCAATTCTTGTTCGTCTCTCTCCATGTAATCGTAAAGCGCTTTTTGTTCAGTAAAATAACACCAATTAGACATTGATTGACATTTGAAGACATTCCCCCCATACCTTCAATCTTGAGTCGAGTGCTTAGCACATGATTGTCATAAATAGGCATCAATTGGTTTGGGAAGAGTTGTGCCATTTGTTTGAGCGAACATTCCTGCAGTCCTAACATTTCAAATCCTCTAATAATGTCATTAAACAAAACTTTTGTCAAATAATTTCCATATGTTTTGCATAAATAGCTAACGTTTTAAATGAATTGCTTTTGGAGTCGCAATCGATTCCTAATTGCTTTCGCCATTTATTTAATGGATTTCTGATTGACTTTAAAAACTCTTCGCTTTCATTCAATTGTTTTCTGATGTCACAGAAATTGTCGAATCGTTTTTGGGAAACAAATCCCATTTCATAGCCTATAAAACGAAATGAGATTTAAAGCATATTTGTAATGAAAGTTATGTACGGTATAAAAATGCTAACCTTTTTGCGTAAGTCTGAGGTCCGCGTTATCGGGACGTAACATAAGCCTAAACTCTGCTCTACTGGTGAACATCCTGTAGGGCTCGTCAGTGCCCGAAGTGGTCAAGTCGTCGATAAGAACTCCGATATATCCCTCCGTCCGGCTTATAGTTAACGGCTTTTTGTTGAGACATTTAGCGGCGGCGTTAATGCCGGCCACTATTCCCTGAGCGGCCGCTTCCTCATAGCCGGTGGTGCCGTTGATCTGTCCCGACATGAATAGGTTGTCAATGAGTTGAGTCTCTAATGTGTGTTTGAGTTGTCGCGGATCGATGTGATCGTATTCCACGCCATATCCCGGTCTTAACATTAGCGCAGTTTCCAAACCAGGGATTAAATTAATCAAACGCTGTTGTATTTCTTCGGGTAATGTACACGATATGCCATTCGGGTAAATCACATCCGAGTCCAGACCTTTCATTGTACGGCATATATTGGTTACACGTGTACTGCTTATTAATAGTAAATGTATGTTACCTTCGGGTTCGAGCCATATCTGGTGTGGTTTGGCTTTGAATTTCAAAACTTTGGACTCAATGGATGGGCAATATCGGGGTCCTCTCACCTCTTCGCGCACGTGTCGACTCAAGTGTGCGTTTTCTGCGACAAATTGCGAAACCTTATCGTTTGTGAATGTGAGCCAAGTTTTCATTTGCATGTTTTCCTGATATTTCAATTAAACTATAAAATTGTTGCCAAAATATTTGTATCAATATTTACATCAATCCAAACGCTGTCATTCATGAATGAAAAGGGGAGCGGAGGTCTGTCGCCTGTTGTGTGGCCTAAACCACTGAAATCAATTGTTTTCCTATCAATTCTTGGAGGAGTTCCTGATATTATAATTAAGCAATTGATAAAATCGGTTAGAATAGAGAAAATGTTTTAACTGAACCTGTTTTGAGTCGTCCCATCTTAAAGCCCGCACTTTCAATGGTTTGCGCCAAACCTATCGCCGGTTCATCTCCTAAATCAATGAATATAAACTGAGTTTTTCTAATAACACGGCTATACTGTACCTATCCTTCCGGCGGGATAGCAGTCGAGACCGATATTGATTTGTCCCCTCAGGAAAGTTCCCGTCGCTAACACTACTGTCCGACTGCTTATGCGCTGTCCGTCGTCTTCATTGAAAAATAGTTGAATTAATTGATTGTATTTTTGTAAACCATATCTAAAGCTTATACTTGTGATAATTCCCTCGCATTTAAGTCGATCACCAGTTTTGTTGATAATCAAGTCCTCCACTGAACAACATTTAATGGTGAGGTTCGGTGTGTTATTTAATACTTGGTTTTGCATGTGTTTCTTAAACAATGATCTGTCAATCTGTGCCCGATATCCCTTTTGTATCATAAATATAATGCAAATTAAATACTCTCTTAAATCTGTTGATTGGATTCGTACCCAAACTGCCGGCCCTTTACTTCTGTTCAACACTTTGTATTGAATGCCAGAGAGATCTGGAAGTCAATGATTATTACATGAGTTTTTAACTGAATTTCATGTCTAAAAATTAATTATCAACTAAAAGGAAGTAATTATAAAGTTTATCATTAGTTAAATGACCGCATATTTTGGGACAAATGCCATCCATTGCGTCGATTTCTCTCAAGAGATGCCCTTTTCCTATACCACCGAAGGCTGGATTGCATGACATCTCTCCTAAACATTACACCAATTAATACATTGTTTTTAAAAAGCAATTAAATAATTATCAAAAAAGCAAATCAAACAAAACAAACCTATAGTTTGTGTTTTATGTGTAACTAATAATACATTAGTGTTCATACGAGAGGCCGCACCGACCGCTTCAATGCCTACAAGAAAAAGCGATCAAACCGTTAGTATAGCCATCGGTAGTGTCTTCGTTGATGACTGACCCGCGTGTCCGCCACCGATGACTATCACATCGTATTCATACGACGACTGTCTTCGCGTCCAAACTCGCAATGCATTGCGTGACTGCAAAAGACAACATCCACTCAATGCACGCATTGTTGCCATCAATGGTATCAATGGATGGGATCTGTTATAATGTGACGATCATGTTATATAACGAGACAATTAGTGATCAATTGTGTGGTAAACTTGAGACCAATAGTAACTGTAAAGTGTAAACAAATCTCAAATGTATTGCCCGTAAGAGCGGTGCCAAGAGTTGGCCAACAGATGGCACTCTCGTCAGCGTCTGATTGCCTGCAACTGCACTGCGAATGCATTGATTGCCGGCCTTTAGTACTGTATTCAATGTGATTGCCATTCAGTCTGTGCTCTACTCCTAACGCTTCCACAGCTTATTCTTCGCATCATTTGCCATAACTCTTGAGTTTTGTTTCATTGAGTTTGCCATTAGTTATGGCCAATTGATACCAATTGTGTGCACACAATATGATTATATGATTAATTAATAGTTAAATATAAAAAACTAGATATATTTGCGGACTTTTAATTAGATTTAGTGAACGTTTATAGAGTTCACAGTATTATAGAAAAGGGGATACTTTTTGGCAGATGTTGTCTGTTATACCCGTTGTCTTCGCCAACAGTTGAGTCCATTTAGTAGTTTTTGTGTTCATTTCCTTATGAAATGTGTTTTTAAATCACACTTTCATTTTCCTCTTTAGCTTTTAATAAGTTATTAACGAAAAACTTTTTCTCCAAACTTTTAATTTTAGTTTAATTTCCGTCTAATGACTGGACATATGGATGCCATTGGATGCCGTGTTTGAGGCGATTTTGAATGCGAATATTTGCGGTTCAATATTGGATGTGATAAACATATTATGCGAGAAATAATGGGCGGAAGAACTCTTAAGAGATATATTCTGATGGGAGTGTTATGTTTGGTCACAATAGCTCTCATATATCAGTTCTCTTCTCCCACTTGTTTCGCATCCCATTCACAGGAAAGTCAATGGATTTCACCCGAGGTTTGCCATCATTTCCTCATTAATTATGTCATTAATCGTAATTAGTATTTGTTTACTCATGAAATGAATCTAAAGTATGTTTTAAACGCTTTTCGCTTTAACTTTACTTTAAACGACAATTTTTATCAAACAGATCTCTGCCTTAAATAATTAACTCAATTTTTGTGCAAAATTTACAGTTTAGATAAAGGGTTAGCTTTTGATGCGATGATTGATTGATATAAATTGCTTAATTTGTTTTGTAAAAGTGCTTTTGCGTAAATGCACTGCAAATCACTTATAAGTTTTCTTATTTATTTCATTTATTAAATATGATTTAGTTTTTATGTTATATTTATTTAACACAACTTTTAGCTTTTTATTCGCGATTCATGAAAAGGTATCCAAACTTAAGTTTAATGTTATTTTAGAGATTCATTTTCGATCTCATGTTTTATGGTTTCAATTTTGTTTGCTATGAATTTGCAATAAATCTTTTTATATTCATCTTATAATCAAAAACACATTTAATGTATTAAATGAATAAATTCCTAGAATTTCTCATAAATTTTCATTTATTATTCAAATTCCTTTTGTGAATGAATACCGCTTATAATGAACTCAATTGAATAATTAATTCCTCAGCAAAAGCCCATTGAATAGTATATTAAAATGAATGCATTCGCAAAATAAAGTATATGTGATATTTGATACACTCTTTTCGGCATTAAGTCTGATATTCAGTGAATCGATTCTGCCATCCATTCCAATGCCATGTCTTATCTCTAATGTTATGTCGAATGAAATTTATTTTAATAACAAAAACTCATTCAAAAGCAGAATTCGTTTGACTTATCGTTAAGAAGTAGAAGAAATGTTTAAAGCATTCAATTCTACCGATTCCTGTCCTTTATATCAAAATAACCCATTATTTATAAGTTCCTTAAATCGTGTCTCGTTTGACAGAATATTCTTTCGTAACGTTTGTTTAAAAAGTTTCTAATAATTATTAATTGTTTGTTTAAAACCATTTTATAGTTTTAGTTATAGTTTTAGTTTTTACAAACATATGTCACCCAACATATGACCCTATAGTACAGACACTTATATAGTCCTCGTTTCTCGACCCAACTTTTTATGTGATGCGCGAATCCATGTCTTGAAAGCAAAGCATCTAATGATACGTTTAGATGTGTGTAATGTTTATTTAACATTCATGTCTATTAACATGAATAGTAAATTAAGCAATACTTTTATTTAACAGAATTGTTATTCTTCTAATGCATTGTCATTATATTATTCTCCCATTATTTGAAGACTTGTTTTCTTTTGTCCAAACATTTCTAGAATATTCCGGAGTTTTATCAAATATATCAATTAATAATTCACTTAATTAAACTATAAGCTAAATAATTAGTTTAATCTTATTATTAGACATTTATATTAGTTTTTATAATATAAATGAAATTTCTTATATTAAAGAATAATAGTATTAATAGAATTGTTTTAATTATATATTTATAAATTAATTAATATTATTCTGTGTTTAATCTTGATTTGAGACATTGCATCCGTTTTGTAGTTCCTATACTTTACTGAATTATTTATTTATATGCATTTAATAAGCCTTACATTTGTCCAAATTTTTTATGTTATATAACTATTTATTTGTTTAATATTAATAATAACTATACGTTAAATGCTCAAATTGCCGACATAGTTCATCTCATACAATATAAGCTAGGCTTGCAACTTTTCCTATTTTTCAATTCCCTTCCCTTTAATAATGAAAAGAGGGAACCCTTTCCCGCATTCCATTCAAATACTGTAAATTGCGTTTATAATACAGGTATTCTGTTTTATAGACAATAAGATTGTGTCTAATAGACACTGTCTATATATTTGTTGCATAAAATTTGCACAAAAACAATACTTTATCCGTAAATAAATTGACTTTTAAGAGGGAAATTTAGTTGAAAGTAGAACTAAAGCCTCTATTTTTTTTGGGAATTCCCGTAACCTATAATAGCAATACATACTACTGAACACTGTATCGATTGGTTTCAAAAATTAAGCCTATATTTAAGTCTTTGGCCAAATGTATATAAACTAACTTTAAGTTATATCTGACGTGAATTAAGTGGAAATTAATGATTAATTATTTGAGAAATGATTTTCAATCGATGTTCAGTTGTAATACCATTAGAGAAGATAAAGTTAAACCATTTTTTCATATAATATTAATAGAGTTTTTGTTAATACTGTACTGTTTTTGTCAAATATTCTGTTAAGTTATTAATAAAACTTATATTTATTATAACAATATTTGCTATTTATTATAAAATAATGGAAAATAATTGATATTTATTTAAACATATGTTTCATTCATTTATGAAGCAATTTATTATGAGTAAAGACGAGCGAAGCGGCGAAACGCAAAAGTTTGTGTACAATCGCTATATGCCTCTCATCTTCATTGGAGGAATGCCCAGAAGTGGTACCACTCTATTGAGAGTCCTTCTCGACGCTCACCCGGAAATCAGATGCGGAGAAGAGACGCGAGTAATTCCCCGTTTGTTGGGTTTCCGTCAGTCGTGGCTCAAAGCGCCCTTTGAATCCCGGCGTCTATCAGAGGCCGGCATCACTGCCGAAGTGCTGGACGCAGCCGTTGGCGCCTTTATATTAGAGATCATCGCAAAGCACGGAACCCCTGCCCCACGGCTTTGCAATAAAGATCCGTTCACTTTGCGTTCAGCCGTTTATTTAAGATATTTGTTCCCAAACTCGAAGTTTATATTTATGATACGAGACGGTCGAGCAGTCGTTCACTCCATCATCAGTCGAAAGGTGCGCTTTCTTTGCTTCGCATTACAATTAAATGTATGAAAATTGATGTATATTTTTATCACAAAACATTAGGTGACTATTTCTGGCTTTGATTTAAAAGACTTCCGCCAATGCCTTAAGAAGTGGAACGCAGCCATGTCTGCGATGGTAAGCATTTCATTATCAATCAAATGTATTGTTATCTAATACAAGACAATGTTTGTACAGCACTATCAATGCGAACAATTGGGAAGTAGTGTTTGTCTTCCCGTACAATACGAACAATTAGTACTTCAGCCCAAAGTGTGGTTACAGAAAATTTTGAGCTTTTTATCGGTTCCGTGGAATGAGTCAGTGCTTCACCACGAAGAGCTCGTCAACAAAAAGAATGGAATCTCTTTATCAAAGTATTTATTTTTATCTTATAATAGTTAGACATTGATTTGATTTTAATCTATGTTTGATTGAAGACTTGAACGTTCAACGGATCAAGTGATTAAACCGATCAACATTGAGGCGCTGTCCAAATGGGTCGGACAGATACCCGACGATGTGGTCAGAGATATGGGTTCTATAGCGCCGATGCTCTCTGTTTTGGGTTACGACCCGACGGCTAATCCTCCAAACTATGGTACGGCCGACACATTAGTGGAGCAGAATATGAAACACTTGGAAGAGAACAAAGAGGACTGGTATGCAAAACAAAAGGAAATGATGTCCATTAGGGAATCCATTAGAAGTTCTCTCGTCAAACAAAAAGCTGAAACTAATAATAATAATATTAATGACAATGTTATTGATGTCATCCATCAAAGTAACGATTTGGACAAAACTGAAACTCCTCTCCAAAGTAACACATGATTTGGGGTTTACTTTACTTCTTAGACAACAATTAATAAATTTAATGAACGCAAGAGTTGTGCAAATAATTCGCTGAAAAATCTTTAATATTTCCAAAGCATTGGTATCTTTATTGTGTGAAATATAGTTTTTTGTGATACAAAATTACCACTAATTTGTGATATAAACCAAATATTAAATTGAAAATATTTTAACAAAAACACGAGTAATAATAATAACGTTAAATAATAATATCAGCTATTTTTTAAGCAAACATTTGATGGATTGAACGATAGGCTGGAGAACAGCTTTTTTTGTGCAAAACAATTGTATCTGAAAACCTGAAGGCATATCTTGAATGTGATTTGATTCCTACAATTTGTGCCATACTTTGTGCTGATTTACTTCTCAATTAAATTAACTATTCCTCTGTTTTATTGTAATTTTTAGATGTATTTAATTTATTATTTGTTTTCTAATTAATATATTTGTAGTTATTTTTACCGTAGTATTTATGATGGGTTTGTTTTAATGCACAATTTGTCTGATTGTTTATAACAACACACAATAGATGTAACGGTAACGAAAGGGATAAGTATTTACTGCATGTTTTTCATCCATTGTATAGACGTTTGTAAGGGTTTTGAACTGAAAGACAAAATTAACTGAAAACTAATATTAATTTTTTCAAATATTTTATTTTTGATTCATTCATTGAATATAAGACTAAAAACATATTCACAATTCCTTATTGTTGTAGAAATTTCATCCATTATTATATTGTAATGTCATTTCAATAGTTTATATAATAAATCATAAAATCGTTTATAACTTATATTTATTGAATATATTTATTATTTAATTTCATTCCGTGTTATCTTTGAGCCAATCCTTTAAGAAATTGATTTGTTGTAAAACACTTGCTTTACTCGTCCCTCCTTTCACTGTGTATTGATTGACACTATTCTCGAAATTCCACAAAAGTCTGATGTCTTCATCGAAATGCTCCCTAAAAGCAAAATCTCATTTAATATTCACTTTAATAGTGACTCGTATTTGGCGTCTAATGTAAGCGTTTTTCTCACGAAATCTCTTTAAACACATTGAGCGGTAAGTTATGTATTTCGAGGCCTAGCCTTTCGGCTGTCGACACAACACTTCCGGCCAATTCGTGTGTTTTCCGGAACGACACCTCAAATATCAGTACATATTTTCGAAAATGTCATTTTTAATGTAAATATTTATTTCTAATATTGATAAAACACTTACGCCTTTGCGAACCAAATAGTAGGCAATATCTGTGGCCAACATATCGCTACTCAAAGCCTCAATGCATTTGTTTCTATTCAACTGAATTCATAACACATAACATATAAATTCAATTCTTAAAGATTACGCCATGTGTTACAGAATATGATTTCTTTGCAACAAAAAAATATAATCTTGTTTTATATGAAACTTGTATGCATTGAAAGATGAACTTCTATTATGTGAACTTAAATTCTGTTTCCTTTTAACATAATATTATGTCTTAAAAAGTAATTTCATTTTATATTTCTATAGAGTTTGCCTCAGAGGATAAAGAATCAAGTTTTGAAAATCGGAATTTTCTATAACTTTTGTGTTGGTATTTATTTTTAAAATTTAGATTAAATTAGGATTTATTCGGGGAATAACTTTCTTAACTGTTTACTGATAAGTAACGCTTACGTAATCAAAAATCTAATATTTAGTTTTCCCTATTTTTATCGTTTCCAAAAACAGATAATTTAATTTTTAATTCATAAATGTAGTTAAGGTTGTGGTTAATTATATTTTTATTAAATATTATGAATCTATTAAAGAATATTTACCGTTAATGTGTCGATAGCGCCGGTTATTACTTGAATCAAACTTTTCATTGTATCAAATGAATCAAACATTCCCTCCTTATCCTCCTATCAATATTCATAATATTAAATACAGTCAATATATTTAATCATATGATTTGTTATTCAAAACTGGTTTAACTAAATATTTACATACAATTTATAAAATGACAAATAAATTATTATTTCAATTACCTGAAGATCTTTATTGAAAGTGCTGGGAATGCCTTTCAGTACAACCAGTATTGCTGTCAACTGAACCACATTTAACATTCAGACAAATGTAAAAATCATAAGTAATCGACATATAAATGTGAGAATCATGCCATACATTGCCAACAATTCTTCCGGACTTTCCTCTAATGAGCTCAAGACTGTCGGCGTTCTTCTTCTGAGGCATAAGTGAAGATCCGGTACTAAAAGAATCGGATATTTCAATGAAACTAAATTCTTTGGTACTAAAGAGAAGCAAATCTTCAGCCATTTTACTGAAGTGTATAACTGTTAGCGAAGACCAGAAGTGGAATTCTGCCACAAAGTCTCGATCGCCGACCGCATGCATGCTATTCATCGAACATGACTTGAATCCTAATTCTTTGGCCAAAAAATCTCTGTCTATATTGAAAGGGTTACCACTGATGGCACCACTTCCGAGTGGACACACATTCATCCGATCCAACGCTGCTATGAGTCGTTCGCAGTCCTGTTGATACATGAATGCAAACGACAGCAACCAATGGCTAAAATATACGGGTTGTGCCCGTTGTAGGTGTGTATAGCCCGGCATTATTGCATCGGTATATCTTCCATCAGTAAAAATTGTATTCATTTTATTGTCACAAATAAGATTTCATTTATCAAACTCACTGCAGACTCCTTTTGATGATTACTTCAATGAGTTTAAGCATATATTTAAGCAATTCTTTAAGTGAATCCCTTAACCAAATTTTCATATCAGTGGACACCTGATCGTTACGACTGCGGCCGGTATGCAGTTTGCCTCCAATATCAGCGCCAATCAATTCCTGATCACAATAATAATGAACTCAATTAATTGCTAATCAATGAATACATTTATATAATTGTTAAACCTTTAGTCGCCTTTCATTAGCCGTATGTATGTCTTCGTCACCCCCTTTGATCACAAACATCCCGGTCTGCCATTCGCTCCGTATATTCTCTAATCCTTCTTCTATTAAATTCAGTTCATTTTCTGTCAAAATAAATTAAATTATAATTTTATTACTTTTATAAATAATGAACTCTAAAAAAGTTTTGTACCTTTTAAAAGATCACATTTGCGGAGAGCCTTCGCGTAAGCAATACTTCCTGTAATGTCCGCCGAATACAGCCTTTTGTCAAATCTGAGGGAAGCGTTAAATTCTTCCATCAATGGATCCAATCCTTTCTCGAATCTTCCGCCCCATAGCTTATTGTCTTCAATCTAGTAATACATAGTTGTCATTGAAAAACATGATTCAATAAATGATTTAAATTAAGTTTCGCCAATTTAGCACAATTAAATTAAATTTAATTTAAAGTAATTAAATATTTAATAACAATTATAAATTACAATATTAATATCATAAGTAATATTTTGAATATTATAAAAAATATCAGTTTTGATTAATTATGCTATAAAGTTGTTTTTATATTAAATTAAACTCAATTATTAACAAATCGGTTATTGTTTAATAAAAATTAATACTTTAATTGATTTTTCAAGACTTGAAAATTTAATAGTTGTCTCCATTTCTGCAATTCGTATATCTTTGCAAACTTTGGAAATTTAAGATTTTGTCAATTTTTGTTTATAATTATTAATTATCAAAAACCTTGAAGTTTAAGAAGATTTAAGTAAATATTTATTGGTTTATCTGTTTATTAATGATTTAAATTATATTCAAAATAAAGTGTTTAATGAAATGATATTTTGTTATTTTATTAAAGACATCATTATTTTGATAAGTAATCGATACGAAGAACCGGAACATTGATACGAATTACTGTATTTATTAATACAATTGTATTTAAATAATTAGTATTTTTACCAGATTTGGTCACAACATGTGAGAAACTCTAACAGTAGTCGCATAAAAGCATTTTAATTAAAAACTTAATTAAAAATTTTTAAAGATTGAATGTTTTTTTTAATATTACAAAAATCATTTTAATTGATTGAAAATACTTTTATTTAATTTCTAAAAAGTTTTGTTTTTTTAAATGAATAATCATTTTGTAATAAAAAATGAATTAACAAAATCATGAATTAATTCAAACGAATATACAGTAAGTTGTGCCCAAAGTTGTAATATAATTATTTAACGCTAACTTATTATCAAATAAATGTCACTTAAAATTAATTTAGAATAAAATAGACAAATAAATTGATTGACAATAAGAATAAGTATTGAAATAAATTATATTTTATTCAAATGGGATTTATATTCATTACAGAAATACTTAACGATTAGATATTTTGATACAATAATAAGTAATTAATAACAGATTTATAGAAAAATACATTTACTTTAATTACAATAAATACTTTTAAAGTGTTAATGAAGTAAAAACATAAATCAATCTATAGTTTGACTTTTTTGGCTTCAAATGTATGGCAATCTTTGGTGTCTTCTTCTTTGATCCCAACAATTGCCTCATTAGTGGACGAGTTGTCAGATTTCGATGCCTTAAACCAGTGATCAATGGTTTTCTGTTTGGTTTTGGCTTTTTGTGGCCAAATATTCTCAATTGAATTGTTTCTGGTATTCGATACCAAACGT